CAGAGCGAGCACAAATTCTACGAAAATTGGAAAAAATGTATGAAAATCGACTTTTCACAGATTTGAAGGTTTTGCGCCGATAATCAATTCTAAATGGAATTTTCAACATTATTATGATCTGGCGACTGATAATGGAAGGTATTGACGTCCCCTAATTTGTGCCGTTGACCATACAATTCGTGCTCTTACCCAGAGCGAGCACAAATTCAACGAAAATTGGAAAAAATGTATGAAAATCGACTTTTTACAGATTTGAAGGTTTTGCGCCGACAATCAATTCCAAATGAGATTTCATAAATATTATCAAAACCATAGAAATCCAAATTCCAGTGCAACCGGCGTTACCAATAGGGATACGCATGCCACATTGACACTTCGAAATATTCTATTATATTCTATAAAGCTGCGATTCAAATGTTTAGAAATTTGGAACGCACGCATACAATCATCGAAAACAACAAAAATACCAATCAATTGTGGAATAATTTTTTGACGAAAGTGAATTAGTCACGGATTTTGGTGATTGTGTGAAGAATTTTGTGTTGTGGAACGTAAGAAAACATATCAAAATGCCTAACGAAATGATAACACTGCAGCTGGTCCAGTGCGGCAATCAAAGTAAGCATCAATTTTACCACGCAAAACAATGTGTTGACGGAATTAAATGTGATTTTTTGTTGATTTACAGTCGCCTTTGAGTTTTGGAAGCGATTGTGTCTGAAGCATGGCATTTCACCCAATGGAACGCGCGAGTAGTTTGCAACAGATGGTGGCTTGGACCGAAAGGATTTGTTTTTCTATCAGGCCGATGACGACCATTACATTCCACGATCAGTGCTACTCGATTTGGAACCGCGTGTCATTCACTCCATCATGAGTCCGCCGTATGCTAAAGTTAGTGTTTTTATCCATTTTTTGTGATTTTTGGAAGAGAAAAACGTAAACTTTGGTTTATTTCTGCTAAAAATTGACATTTAGAAGTGTTCATATGTATTTTCTATCGAACATTGATACCAAATTCGACTTTTCATTCGGAATTTATACAAAATTTCACTTTCTTCCACAGTTGTATAATCCAGAGAACATTTAATTATTGAAAGATGGTGGTGGTGCCGGCAACAATTGGGCATCGGGTTTCAGTCAAGGCAAAAAATTGCAAGAAGAAGTGTTTGAAATCATCGATCGTGAGGCATATGGCAGTGTCAGATTGGAGGGATTTGTTCTGTGTTATTCGATTGCCGGCGGCACTGGCTCAGGCATGGAATCCTATATCATGGAACGGCTGTCCGATCGATTCCCCAAGAAATTGATTCAAACATACAGTGTGTTTCCGAATCAAGATGAAATCAGGTAAAAAAATGTGTGTGCAATCCGATGAATTCCGTGTTTTCAATGAATTTTTATTCTCTATTTGGCAGTGGTGTCGTCGGCCGTACAATTCACTTTTGACTTTGCGACGACCAGCTGCGCTGAGTGGGTCGTTGTTTTGGGTAACACAGCACTCAATCGCATCGCCACCGACCGACCTCATATTGAGGTAAGGGCGCTTGTTCATGAATGAAAAAAACTTCTGCGGAAAAATTAAACGACGATTTAGAGACAACAAAAAGCATGTGACAAAAGATCTCATTGTATCTTCTTTGGTTTATAGACTTGGGCATTACAATTTGTTCCGTTTCACTCTTTGAACGCATTTTTTTGTCTCTTCCAAACATTTTTTTATTTAACTGTTTTGTTGTTGTTGTCGCTACTTGAATTTTTTTTATTCATTTTCAGACGCCACAATTGCATTGAATGATGAATCGCAATTGCCATCATTTGTTTGCTAGAATGTATCGGTGTCTCTTTGCAACGAACTCCGATTTTGCTAAATTGCATTTTCGCAGAAATCAACGAAATCGAATTTGTATACATTACTGGGTACTGTTTGTTTAGTCTTTCAAAAATGCGATCTCAGTGAAATGAATTCTCGTTCGTCCAATATTGCCGAATTCACAGTAAGTATCTAAGTAGTTGTGAATAAAATATCATTTTGTGATGACGCTCTCGAGCGAGCCAGAAGCACTTTTTTAAGTTTCAATTACAATTGAATTGAATTCAATCATTTTGTGTCCATACTCTTGTGCGATGAGTTCATTATTTGAAGTCTATGTTTCAATTGACAAAACAATTGTGTGAAAATAATTAAGTGAATATGGCTGGTAAGATGCGAATCGTGTGAAATTAACATTAAAAAAATTGATAATAATAATTTTTATGTGTATAGGACGAAAACCGAAATTTGAAAAAGAAAAAAAACAACAAATCTTCGAAAATGAAGAGGAAAATCTCGTCAAAAATGGAAAAATACCTGTTCCAAGCGACCCCATTTGGAATCACTTGCATGCAAAATACGAATTGCGTGTAGACATAACAACGAAAGCAATTTATACAGCCGCACTGCTGCATTATAAAGAACGTGGAAAACTGATTTGAATTAACCAAAATGAGGATGAAAATGAACCGGAAGTTGAAAGTGATGAAAACAGAGATACTTCTGATAAAAGCCACGATCCGATTGATGTTGATGAATCAAATGTTATTAAATTCCATGTTGTTCTATCTGCAAAAGCGTGGAGTTACATTAAACCAGAACAAGAAAAATATCACCGGCAAGTTGACCACGACCATAAAAATCCAGATCGAAATTATCTTGTTTTGAAACGTGGTTCATGGACATGTGCACTCTCCGAACAAATTTCCGAAAAGCGAAGTGACATTCCATGCCGATGGACATATCAACGCGGCAAAGTGCATGAAAATGGTGCTGTTTATATCAAAGTGACCGGATCGTGTATAACGTGTAATGCACAATTGACTGGCGCACTTAAGGACAAGCCAGATTCAGAAAGTAAAACCATTAAATTTGACTTTGTGATAAAAGGTTTGAATATGCAAATGCACGCAGAGAAAAGCGCACAAAAATCAGTTCGCCTAGGTGGAGATTTTGCACGCGATATATACGAAAGTAGCGGTACCGGTATAATGACGCGACGACGTACCATGAACCGATCCACAAGCTTGTGTCGATTTCCCACAAATCGCGTCCCTACAAGTGGTGCGATTGCAGCTGGCAAATACAGATTGAATAAATTCGACCGAATCGATGATGATCCATTTACATCTATTGAATATTTGAGCCGTTCCGCTTTTGGTAAATGTATACGAGGCCTTTCATTGATTCCATTTTACGTGATGTACACAAGCGTTGACCAGATTGTTATGTATAACATATATAAAAAGAAGAACAAAATTACAAAAGTCAGTGCAGATTCAACCGGATCGATTGCCCACAAAATTGGTAATGTTGCAAATACTTTTTAAGCAAATTTTAATTGTTTTTCTATTATTTTAATTGATATAGGCATTGTGAATTTATTTACTCTTTTTTGTATATAGTTCGAGAAGGTCGTAAGTCGCAGCAAATTCATCTTTACACTCTCGTAATTTCCGATGGATTCCAGATCCCAGTCCATTCGATGATTACAGATGCACATAATACCAGTTTGGTTTCGTATTGGCTACGAGAATTCGTTCGTTTCACTGGGGATACTCCAAATGTGTTTATTTGCGATATGTCTTCCGTTCTTCTTAATTCCGCTGCAAGGGAATTTGCCAAATGTGATGACATATCAGAATACGCAGAAATTCTTTTCAATATGCATACGGAACCCAACATCAAAATACCCAAATGTTATATTAGGTGTGACAGGAATCATTTCATAAAACTGGTGGCTTCTTGTGATGCTTTAAAAGAGGTATCGGCTTTACAAAAGCAATTTTACATACGCTCCGTTTGCTTGCTCATGAATTGCAGAAGAATTTCTCAAGCGGAAATGATACTCCTATCAATTTTAACTGTTGCAAAGAGTGAATTCAAAGGTAAGAACAGTAAATACATCATTGCAGTGTGTGTGATGTTATTCTGATTTACTATTTACCATACAATCATAGGTGAAGAGGCTGATTCACTTTTCAAAGTTCGTAGACAACGCTTGTTTGATATGATTGGTACGATGCCAGATTTTAGTAAAGAAGAAAATATATCCATCCAATCATGTTGCTCTCCTGAAAAAACTGATCTTGGAATTACTTCAAGCAGAATCAAAGATTGGTTGAAGGAAATGGATGTTCAATCAATTACGGAAAGATACGACGGCGAAAAGAACAATTTGTTCAACGAAAAATTTGCTAAATATCTACTCAGTCTCAGCGAAACATTGGTGCTATGGTCAGGTATCTACACGGTGTTTTTGATTTAACTTTCGATTTTTATATAAAAACATTGTTGAAAATCATTGACTTTGCTTCCTTCTCTTTCTAAGAGATGACTCTTTCTATCTTTTTATTTTATTCTATCATTTATCAGGAATCAACGCACAGTTCTTTAACGCTGATGTAAGTGCCAGCAGTGCCAATGTTGAGTCCTATTTCAAAGACCTAAAATCATCGATACCTCATTTACCATGTCGGGCCGACGTATTCATGCAAGAGCACATAGAAATGATTAACGGTATGATAGTCGATGCATCCCAAGAATATGTGAATTTTGTTGATGCTTCAGGTGGGCTCGAAAAATTTCGAAAAGATATCCCAATTGTTCCAATTGATGACTCGGAGAATGAATCTGAACCAGAAACGAGCGAAATTAATGAAGTGTTTGGTTACACACAGGTCAATTCATTTTCAGCTCTTGGAGATCAACCAGAATTAATTGATTCATCTATGCAAATCGCTCAGCAAAATACTTGTGTCGCATGCAAACTGGGAGATTTGCCAGGTGGTGCCCATACGTGCATAAAATGCATGAAAGCAATTCATGTTATTGATGGTTGCTCGTATAGCGCCGGACAAGAAGAAGGCTATGGTGAAAAACGGGTTTGCTATTCGTGCTATTTTGAAAAGTTCAACGAAGACGAAACAAAGTCAAAAGCAAACCCACGGAAGAAAAATCCAAAGAATGAAAAGTCGGTTTCCAAGGTTTTGAATGCACAAGATAAATGGGCAAAAACAAAGCGAAGTCAACGATCTTACCTAAGACCATTACCTCATTTGGGCCTTATGACCAGCGAGAAAAAAACCCCGAAAATTGGATTTTTAATCAACGCTACAGCTCAAACAACCGTTCACAAAGTAAACGGAGTTCCAGTTAAATTGAAGAACACTTGCGCTTTTGATTCGGTCGTTCAGGTACATTCCATATATTTGGACTATTTTTATACTTCTAATTTTCGATTTATTATCTGTTCCAAATTAGCTGTTGGCTATCGTCTACGCATATAACCCGAAAGTTCGCAGTGCATTCGATGAATATTTGGAATATCCAGGAATTGAAATTGCAACCATGTTAGCCAAAAAGTAAGAATTGAGAAGAACTCTTTCCATAAAAGTACTCACAAAAAATTTCAATTGAATTTTCAGCGTTCACATGCGGTCGATTAATAAGAAAAGAGCTGAAATTGTATCGCGTATTATGGACGATTCTGATGGTCCTATCACAGCAAATTATATTTTTTCAGTTTTGATGAAAGAATGTCCATCGTACAAAGAAACAACAATTTGCTCCGACGAATGTATCAACGAACCAAAATATCACCCGATAATCAAATTGCACAG